CCTCCTCCACTCCCTCCTCCTCCATCGCTCCCCTCCTCCATCCTCTCCTCCACCTCCACCTCCTCCCCTCCCCCTCCCCCTCCTCTCCTCTTCCACCTCCCTGCCTCTCCTCTCTGCTCCTCCTCCACTCCCCTCCTCCTCCTCCTCACTCCCCTCTCCTCACCTCCTCCTCCTCTTCCCCCTCCTCCACCTTCGCCTCCTCGTCCCCTCCGTCCACCTCCTCCTCCTCCACCTCCTCCCCTCTCCCTCCCCTCTCACCTCTCCTCTCCACCTCCTCCTCCCCTCCTCCTCCTCACTTCCCCCTCCTCCACCCTCCCCTCCTCAACCTTCTCCTCCTTCCCCTCCTCCCACCCACTCCTTCCTTTTCTCCTCGCTGCCCCCTCTTCCTCCTCCACGCCCCTTCTCTCCTCCACCTCCTCTTCCTCCTCCTCCTCCTCTTCCCTCCTGCCTCCTTCCCCCCCTCCTCCTCGCCTTCCCCTCTTCTTCTTCCTCCTCCTCCTCCCCCTCCTCCTTCCTCCACCTCCCTCTCTCCTCCACCGCCTCTCCTCCTCCCCCTCCCCACTCCTCCTCCTCCCCGCTGATGATGAAGGATAAAGGATGCAGATCAGCTCCCTCTACCTCCGCGAGTGTTCAATCAGCTTATCACTCGACGCCATTGAACTTATAGTAAAGTTAGCGATGACCAAAGACTATCCTGCTCATCACTCGCTGATCAGTGATTCAATTCAATTCAATTCAATTCAATTTAATGTACTTTATTTACACTTATGAATTACATTTTGGAGGTAGCATATTAGTTAAACAAATAATAGACAAAGCTGATAAAATCAAAACAGATGAAACTAAATAAATAGAAGTGATGGAGAGTGAAATGACATGGTTCCATCCTCTGATTCCGCAGGTGATCAAGGTTGTAGACGTTGACGAGGGCGGAGACTGGGTGATCGTCGAGCGGGGGTCACAGAGAGGTCGCGCCCCGATGACCCACGTCGAGTACATCAACTAGAGGTTAAAGGTCACAACGCGATGCCGTCGGCCAGGTCGGCCATTTTGCCTTCTCTCTTTCCTTGTAATTGTTAAAAGATCTCTTACGTGTGTTAGATATGCTTTCTGGATCATAAATCGATTCGACTGGCAAATGTCGTTGTTCAATACGGAACCAAGCAATGGTGGCCGTCAGAGGGCCAAGTACGGAAGTTCGAACCAACCGACAGGGGCCATTGGCGATTGGGTGCTGAATTCGTAATAACTCTTTCTCTATTCATTGCATGTGCCTGGTGAATTTATTCCCTATACGTGTGTGCCTATAAGTTTATAATATGGAGTATAAAGCGCTTGGGATGGAACGAGATAGAAATCGTGAATTCCGAACGACGCCGCTTTCACATTGCGCCATGTTTAAACATTGCCGAGAACAGTTTCTGCGTAATATATATGATAATAAATGTATTTATGGCGCGCTCGTGTGTGCGCGTGTGCGTGCGTGCGTGCGTGCACCGGTGCGCGCGCGCGACAAGCGATCACTCGCTCTAATAACGCTCGGCTGCTGTGAAAGATGACGATGTGGATAATCTTGCCGCGCCGCTTAAGTCCCGTACATGTATATGTGCCGTCTTCCATTTCCACACATATTGGGGGATCCAGACTTTGCAGCTGTGATTCAAGGCAACTCCACCATGCCAGTGCAATTCACCCGACTTTGCTGCAATATGTCAGCTGCAATAGGGAAATAATATGATTTTTTTCCTTTGATTAATCAACATGGTTGCTAATTATCAGTTGGTAGTCGCTCGATAGGAAGATGAGAAGGTGGCACACTGGATCCTTGCTATTGCATATATGGTGGGCCGATATGGGTAACGACATGATATATACGCGTGAATACGTATGTGCGTGCGTGCGTGCGTCCGTCCGTCCGTGCGCGTGCGTGCGTTCTGTGCTGTGCGTTGCGTGCGTGCGTTCGTGCGATCGTTGTCGTGCGTGCGTGCGTACGGTGGTGTGTGTGTGCTTGTGTGTGTTTCTTCTTACCGTGCGTGCGTGCGCTGCGTCCGTGCGATGCGGTGCTGTGCGTTGCGCGCGTTGCGTCCATTCCGTTTGCGTGCGTGCGTGCGTGCGTGCGTGCTCGCGCTGCGACCGTGCGTGCGTGCGTGTGTGTGTGTGTGTTCCTACGTGCGTGCGTGCGTACGTGTTTTCATAGAAACGACAGTAGTGTGCCATCTCCTTGCAATTCTGTACTAATATACCGACTGAAAAACAAATGAACTAACTTCTCATGAACAGGCCTATGGGTTAATGATGCACTCACTTGATTTTCTCCAGTATATAATTAGAGTCCAAGCAAGAGAGTTCGGCGTTGATCGCTCATACCTTGCGAAAGCAATGCGCTAACAGAAATTGCCTTTTCATTTGCAGGGGGAAAAACCTATATATCGAGACGTTACTATCTAGATTAATCTACAATGATATTATACATATTATATCTACTGATATATAGATTATTATATTGATGATATTATATGATATACATCGATATATGATCATTATATTCTACATGTGATATATGATAATATATCTTATTTGGTGGGTCAGTGTGAGACCTGTGCTACAGTATGTGTAATTTTCACACGGTTACCATTATTTGTAGTCGCGTGACTAAACTAACTAACAATAGTAACGTCGTGAGGACTGTGAATAATTCACAAAAAAAAATATATAAAAATTCGCTTTCCGTTTGCTCGTGACGTAATTAATTCGCCTAATTAATTCGTCGGTCTCCGCTCCGCTTTCCGTATCCGGAGCACGAGCGCCACGAGCCGATGTTCATGCCAAATTTTCGTGGGTGGCCGCCCCCCTCCAGCGCGTGCCGCCGCGGGTCTTAGAAAATACGCACGAGATTTGTCTCCGTGCTTTCCCGGCTGGGTCACCCACCACCCGCGGGTGTTCCTGTCCGGGTCATGGGGGCCATAGCAGGCGGATGCTCCCGGTGGGGTCATGGCGCGGGTCACAGGGGCAGTATCTCGTGGTGGGGTATGGCGGAGGTCACAGGGATGATGCTTCCTCGGTGGCGGTCGTGCAGCGTCAACAGAGGCAGATTGCTCCCGTGGAAGGTCATGGCGGACGGTCACAGGGTGCGATGCTTCCCGGTGGGGGGTTAATTGACTGGGTCACAGGGCGGTTGTTCTCCGTGTGGGTTATTTGCCGTCACAGGGGCGGATGTTCCCGGTTGGGTCATGGCGGGGCGTCACGAGGGGCGGATGCTCGTGGTGGGGTCACAGGGGCGGATGTTCCCGGTGGGGTCATGGCGGGGTCACAGGGGGCGGATGTTCCCGGTGGAGTCATGGCGGGGTCACATGGGCGGATGCTCGTGGTGGGGTCATGGCGGGGTCATAGGGGGCGGATGTTCCCGGTGGGGTCATGGCGGGGTCACAGGGGCGGATGTTCTCGGTGGGGTCATGGCGGGGTCACAGGGGGCGGATGTTCCCGGTGGGGTCATGGTGGGGTCACAGGGGCGGATGTTCCCGGTGGGGTCATGGCGAGGTCACAGGGGCAGATGCTCCCGGTGGGGTCATGGCAGGGTCACAGGGGGCGGATGCTCGTGGTGGGATTACGGCGGGGGCGCTATGTTTCGCTTTGGTCTGGACCTGGTACTTGCTGGGCTGAAGAGTGATCGTTATATAGTGCTGAGGCACAGGGAGGCAATGCTACACCAGCCTGCTAATCGGAATATAATAGGAAATATCGTATCGTCTATTTTCTCATATAAGAGAAACTAGTTTGTCTATTTTGTTAGATAACCCCCTCCCCTTTACAACCCATCCAGCCTCCACGATGGATGCCAACCTATGTGAAGAGCCTTAAATATGGTCGGGTCGTGCTATAAATATCAGGGTGTTGTATATTTTTGCTGTTGCTATTTGTTTTTATTGAACAGAGTCTTAAGCCCGGCGCACACGTGAGGAATTTTACTCAAGTAAAATGATGCATGCGTCAAAATACTCACGTGTGCGCGCTAGCTGCGTAAATTTACTCAACACTGGTACTCACAGCGCATGCGTTTAAATTATTTTAAAGATGACTGCGCCCAGTATTGGCTGCGCACAGTCGAGTGATCTACGTTACCACTTACACCGTGAGTAATTTTACTCACGTGTGCGGCAGACGCTGAAAATATTTCGCGTGAGTATTTTGACGCATGCATCATTTTACTTGAGTAAAATTACTCACGTGTGCGCCGGGCTTTAAATAATGTGAAGAAGCCATTGCGCGATGCAATTATATTCGGCAGCCACGAGCAAAGTAAGGGACTATGTTGCTTGTTATTGCCCGCTTCAACACCTTGTTTCACTAACGTGCTGATGTTGTGACGTCATGATTTGAAGTACCTGTGCTGACCCTGTTTAGGTGTTCGGGGGGAGGCGGAGGTGGGGTGAGTGAGGTGAACATCAACACATGCTGCGTGGCAGGTGTTCTTCTCGTCTCCGTTCAGTATATGTTAATCTGGATCGTCGGCAGTAGTAGTGGTGGTGTTGGCGGTGTTGGTGGTGGCGGCGACAACGGCGGCGGCAACGGCGGTAGCAGTAGCAGCAGCAGCAACAACAACAACAACAGCAGTAGCAGCAGCAGTACCGTCTCTCACATCTTTCATTACTTTAATCACATATAATTAGTGATAGCCACAGTTGCCTGTGCGTATAGACAATTTCGCGTGTTCGGCTTCTGTCTAGAAATGAAATCGTAAAATCGCGTATACGGAGATTTGTGACTGAATTAGTGAAAGACGTGTAAGAGCTATCATCTGGCTGCTGTAGTTCGGCAGACGAGAGATGATGAGAGAGAAGAGGGGTGAGAGAAATATAGAGGTGGGAGGTGAGGTGGGGAGGGGGGAACGACCACATACGGAAATCTTTGTAAGCGGATTAACACAACGATTTCCTGCTTGGCCAGACACTCACAAATCGCAGCGAACTACTGCAGACCGCCGACCGAAAATATTATGTAATACGGTCCCAGCTTTGGTGAGAATACATACGAACTTAGAGACAGACTCTTTTGGGACTTTCGTGATCAGCCTGATACGAACTATTAATTGTCACTTGCATTGGTTGTCACGTGTCGTCACGTGGCTGATCGGCGAATACATCTTCGATAATCGATCGTTCGATTAACATTAATGACCTAATGATTATGAATGCATGTTGCCGTGTGTGAAATAGATGGAAATCTGCGTCGGGTCTACATCTCCTCGCATAGCCAGTGCTTTACCCCAGCTCGACGAGGCTGTGCGACTGATTGTCTATTTGGTCTTCTAGCAATAGCAAGACCGTTTCTTGGAGCTAGCTTTACCCTAACTTAGTTTCAGCGAGGTTGTCCCTCGGTGCCATACAGATATAAAGTTAGCGATGAACGGCGAACGTATAAAGTTTCTCGCGCCGTGTACGGCAGGGGGGCCTGGACCGCCTTTATGGAACGCGGGTCCACTGCACTTGCCACCCGCGTATCCACTGCACTTGCCACCCGCGTATCCACTGCACTTGCCACCCGGAATACCAAGCAATGTGTGCGCCGCGATCAGAGGGCCAAGTATCGGAAGTCTCGAACAACCGAACAGGGGCCATTGGCGAGTTGGTGCTGAATTCGTAATTAACGCTTTCTTATTCATTGCATTGTGCCTGGTGAATTTATCTCCCTATACGTGTGTGACTATAACGTTTATAATATGGAGTTATAAAGCGCTTTTCGATTGGAACGAGATTAGAAATCGTGTATCCAGAACGACGCCGCTTTCACCATTGCGGCCCATGTTTAAACATGCCGGAACAGTTTCTGCGTAATTATATTATGATGAATAAATGTTATTATGTTGCGCGCGCTCGTGTGCTGGCGCGTGTGCGCGTGTGGTGCGTGCGTGCGTGCGTGCGACTTTGGTGCACGGGTCCTGCGCGGCGCGCGACAATGCATCAACTCGCTCTAATTAACGCTCGGCTGCCTGTGAAAGATGACGATGTGGATAATCTTGCCTGCGCCGCATTAGGTCCCATTACATGTATATGTGCCGTCTTCCATTTCCACGACATTATTGGGGATCCAGACTTTTGCAGCTTGTGATTCAAGGCAACGTCACCCATGCCAGTGCAATTCACCCGACTTTGCCTGCAATATGTCAGCATGCCAATCAGGGAAATAAATTATGATTTTTTTCTTATATTAATCACAGGGTTTGCTAATTATTCAGTTTTGGTAGTCGCTTCGATAGGGTAAGATGAGTGAAGCGTGCGCACCACTGGATCCTTGCTATTGCCATATATGGCTGGGCGATATGGTAACGACATGATATATACGCCGTGAATACGTCATCGTGCGTGCTGTGCGTGCGTCCGTCCGTCCGTGACGCGTGCGTGCGTTCGTGCGTGCGATGCGTGCCGTGCGTTGTGCCATCGTGTCGTGCGTGCGCTGCGAGGGTGTGTGTGTGTCGTGTGTGTGTTTGCTCTACCGTGCGTGCGTGCGCTGCGTCCGTGCGATGCGGTGCGTGCGTTGCGGCGTGCGTCCATTCCGTTGCGTGCGTGTGTGCGTGCTGTGCGTGCGTCGCGTGCGGACCGATGCTTGCGTGCCCGGCGTCGCAGTGTGTGTTCCTACGCTGCGTGCTGTGCGTACCGTGTTTTCATAGAAATACGGACAGTAGTGTGCCATTCTCCTTG